GGCACATGGCGGGCTGGGTTGTAATGTCTGTGTATGTCTCTGTGTGTGTGTGTCTGCTGTGTGTGTGTGTGGGAAAGGTATTTGACGAATGCATGCAGTACGCATGTGCATGTGCATGTGCGTGTGCATGTGCATGTGCATCTGCATGTGCATCTGCATCTATGTATGTATGTATGTATGTATGTAATGTATGTATGTATGTCTATGGGTATGTACGTGTGTGTACGTCTGTACTTGTGTACGTCTATACGTGGGCACGTGTGCATATGCGTATGTGAATCTGTGTGTACGTATGTGTGTGTGCGTATGTGTGTGTGTGTGTGCACGTGTGTAGGTGTGTATGTGTGTGCGTGTGTCTGTGTGTGCGCATGCGTGATTCTTTGTAGTGTGTGTGTATGTCAATGTGCAGATGTGTGTATGTGTGTATGTGTGTGTGTGTGTTGTATGTATGATTGTGTCTATGTGTATGTGTGTGTGTATGTGCATGTTATATATGTGTGTAGGCGTGTATGCGTGTACGCTTGTATGTTTGTATGCATGTGTGCGTGTATATATGCGTGTATGTGTGTGTGTACAGGCGCATGTGTATTTGTGTGCGTGTGTATGTATGCGCGCGCGCGTGTGTGGCGCGAGCGCGCGCGGGTGTGTGTGTGTGTGTGTGTGTGTGTGTGTGTGTGTGTGTGTGTGTGGGTGTGTGTGTGTGTGTGTGTGTGTGTGTGTGTCTGTGTGTGTCTGTGTGTGTCTGTGTGTGTTTGTATGTGTGTCTGTATGCGTGCGCGTGTGTGTGTGTGTGTGCGTGTATATGTGTATGTATGTATGTGTATAATTTAGTTGCGTATCGTATGGTTGTGTATTTGTGTGTATGACTGTGTTCGTGAGTTGGTGTGTATGTGTTTGTGTGTGCCTGTCTGCCTGTCCATCTGTCTGCATGTCTGCCTGTATGTATGCAACAATGTATGCACGCATGCATGCATGTACGTATGTGTGTGTGTCAATACTGTGCGCGCAAAATGTAAGGCAGGTCAGGCAGGCATGCCGGCAGGGAGGCAGGCAGACCTAGAAGGCATGCCTAAAATGCAAGCAGAAAGCTGGATACGACTATGGCTCACCAAATCAGATGCTGACTGATACATATCGCAACCTGATTGAAATGTTTCTTCAGCAATGGACAATAGGCCACATGTGATTTGCAATATCGATAGAAAAGCCCTGCATGGATGTTCTAGGTTCGTTCTTCAAGTTGCATCTGATTGGTGCCAGGAAAGAGTACGACCTTACCCAACAATCCCATCGTAACACAAGACAGCAAAGTACGGAGCTATCCGGTAGAATTCCCATTCTTCATTACTACCAAAAGGCAACGTTGGTTCACAGAGCATAATTTCAAACATCTGCAACTCAAAAAGCCCAGCGCATTACTTACTAAAGGCCATGCTGGAGAACCAGCGTAACAAATCCTCTCTTTCTCGGGGAAGGGCGACCTGTTGTTTGCAAAGGAAAGCGCTGGGCAAAAACACGCCTGCAGAGCGGCAGCGGCGGCCGATTGCTTTTTTCTTCGCAGTCTCACTCGTGCGGACGATGTCTTTGTGTGGCTAAAACTGGAAGGTTTGCCGTCTGGAGCATCGTGCTTTCTGTTGGGAGGAACTCCAACCTTGAAAGAACTCCAAAGGAGTTGGGAGTCTGAGTTGGGGGCATTCTTCTTTTTTTTTTTCTCACGCAGTCACCGGTTGAACCGCAGGGCCGCTTTGGGCGACTCAGCCGTCGGGCTCGATGACAATCTCCATGTCCAAATCCTCGTGCCCGTCAGTTGAAACAGCTTCCAGCAAAGCGCTGCGAATCTGTTGCACATGCAGAGAGCGCTCCACATGATGCTTATGCATGTGTATAATGTATATTTATGTGATATGTTTATACATATTGATGCATGTATGGTATGGTACGGTGTGCAATGGCATGGAATGCAACGTAACGGAACGTAATGGAATGCATGGGATAATTCATACATATGTAGATATGTGATAAACACATATATATATATATATATATATTATGGAGTTTCCATTGAACAATCCGGATACTGAGACAAAAACAACAAGGATCCATACTTCTGCAAGAGTTACCGCCTGCCCGGCCAACCAATTTAGATATTGATTCAAATGGCTGCTTTGCGTTATTTCTTGAAAGGTTGCCTTCGGCCTGGCTCGCCTACAAGGTGGAACTTGTTGAGAAGCTGAACAGAAAGCAAAGTCAATTGAGAAAGACCTTGAGATTGAGATCTTTGCGCTAAGTGCCACTGTTTGACGGTCACAACAAAGCATGGCTCAGAAGCTCGGTATCTCCGGACTTGGGGCTGTGAGCCCAAGCTATGCATCGGCGAGGAAAGCCGCAAGTTGCCTGCTTTCCATTTGGTGATGGTGACTGTGCAGCCGCCACAGGCGGCCGGAATTTTGCTGGCAAGCTTCGAAGAGTCTACTCCATGATGAAGCCAGACCCCATGTTCCAGGAGACTAGCCAAAAGGCAAAATTAGATATGCGTCCAAGTGGGGCACCCTACAAGAAGTGGATTTCCTTTTGTAGCCTCACACCAAGCACATTTTCCAGTGACCCTAACAAAACACAAAATAAGGGACCCTACCAAAGGTGGACTTCCTCTTGGCTTCCCGATCGACCAACCCAAAAAAGGGAAGGGTACCCTCAAACAAAACACAAACACAGCACACACAGAAGCATGTGGCCATGGGTCCAAATCCTAAATCGTACCCCCAGTGAACATCCCAATCCCCATTGAAATGGACTAAAACGGGTGGTGAATTCACCTACCATTTTTCTTGACCCACAGCCATGTAAGGTGGAATCCTCTGAACCGGAATCAGTCGTGACGTTTCCGAAGCCGAAGCGGCGCGCAAGAGCTTGAACTGCAGCAGTGCCCCCACACAGGAGACCTCTCGCGCGCATCGGGGATGCTCCCGTGGCACGTGGGTCTGTTGGAAAATTCGGCCATGCCGAAAATCTGTGGCTACCAACTTGGGCTTCCCTTTAACCAAAGAAACAAGTGGGGCTTCCCTTTAGCCGAAGAAACAAGGGGTTCCCCAAAAGACAATGCCCAGGTTGACCATGAAGCCATGCAGCCGTTCATCTATCGGAAATGGACCGGACCAGGCAGAGGGCTACGTCTAAGTTGCCCGAAGGACCCAAGGCGCTGGACATGGAAGAGATCCTCCCCAAAAGGGGGAAACCAAAAAATCAAAAGGCTAGCTTTGGGCAAGCTGAATTGTCGGAATCCCTCTGGAGGAGACCGCAAGCATGCAAACACAGCGAGGTCATCGATGCGAACTGCACTTCGCAGAGAAGCCGCCCTATCTAGGGATTAGGCATAGGCATGGTCACCTGGTCTTTGTTCTTTGCCAGTGGCCGAGCGGTAAATCAAGACGCCAGCCACTCTGGGCTGTCAATTTCGGGCAAAACCCATAAACCATCAAGAGTAATTGTAGGTCTGATATGGCGGCTTCCGCGTGAAGCATCGCATGCCTGTCAGAACGCTCCTTTCAGTCCGACATCGTGTGGCAACTGAATTCACACGCAAATTTATATTAGACCAAATTCAATTTGTATACACACACACACATCTTATGAACTTGTGATCTCCAAATTTGTGCCCCACAACCCCCTTCCACTGATTTGGGGCCAGCTTGGCTTTCAGGCTAGGGACATTCAAACACCCCATCCGGGAATTTAGTCACCATGCCGCTTCGAGTGGCCTCGGGCCGCATTCACGGGCCAAACTCCCATACCCCCAGTGAACATTCCAATCCCCACTAAAATAGACTAAAATGGGTGGTGCACCTACCCCAAAATCGTACCATTGGTTTTTACCCACAGCCACTTCCTTGCCCCAAAAACGGGGGGTCCTTCTGGACACCTTGAAGCAAGCCTATTCAATCTACTGCAGGGTGTCTCTGGCCACCGACAATTCGCTTCCCCTTTGGAATCTTGCAATGCAGTTCTTGGTGCAACTGACGCCATTTGGTCCAGGTCCATGGGTGCCCAAGAAAAAGGGCCGATCTCCGTTTGATGTCCCTTGAATAAGATTCTACCTTGCGACCGAAAACCAGACTTTCCAACAATAAGACTTTCCTAGACAGCCAAGTTGCTGGTATCTTAAAATTCACTGTTGCTGTTTTTTTTGGGGTAAAGCTCATGGAAAGAAAAAAAAAACGATCGCAACTGGCGATCCAGGTGCTTGGCCCGTCCCTCCAGCGCATCACCGGAGGCCACGTCCGCCCTTGCAGCCCAGCTGCGCAAGGGGCGCTCCGCAGCCGCAAAGAAGCAGAAGGAATGGGATCCATCTGCAGCGCGGCCTCCAGAACCTGCGGGATGGGCGTGTGGTGTTTCAACAACTGGACCCTGGCCCCTTCAAATCGAAACAAAAGGAGTTAGATCAAGCCATACGGGATTGACATGTTGGATCAAACCCGTGTATATTGGATTGACATGTTGAAACAAGGTGCCGCACACACAAGGCTTGGATGATGACCCTGGTAGACAAAGGTAAAATGTTTTGGGGGAAAACAAAAGGGGACATCAGGGTTCCAGTGAACCACTGGGACACGTCGCAACTTTTCGGTACAAGTGTAGACTTTGGCAGCTCTCACAGCTTTTCATTGCAAGTGTGGACAGCAAAGTACATTCTAGCAGCTCCAGGGCACAGAACAGCTATCCCTTCAGAAAAAGGCTCGCCCCTGCAAACGTCTGACTCCGCAATCTCGCTTTGCGACAACGACTTGGACCTGCGTCTTCCTGCCTTCTGCGCAGCGAAAGGTCCTTGTTTCTCGACCCAAAATGGGTCCCATGGCCACGGGTCAAAACCAATGGTACCATGTTGGGGTTTGTGCACCACCCAATTTAGTCTATTTTAGTGGGAATTGGGATGTTCACTGGGGGTACGATTTGGATTTTGACCCATGGCCCCATCAGCTCGGTCTTCGCCCGTGCCTGAAAGGTACAACAGGTGGATCGGTCCAGCAGCGGCCCCACCCGCAGCTGGCGGCAGCTCTGAAGGCGCGTGGCACGACATGGTGGCAAAGGCCCCTGCCGGCACAAGGAGGTGCCCAACAATGGTGGGACTCCGGATTGGTTGCTTCACTGCGCCAAGAAAACAATGTGTATTATATACATTGTATTACATGTATATTCTTAAGCGTGTTCGCGCATGCATGCGCAAGTTGCTTGGCGAAGATAAAGGTGCGCACACCGTTTGCGCTCTATCCGCTGATTTCTTTGCCTTCGCACACGCACACAGCCTCGCTGCCCAAGCATCCCTTTCAAGTCTGTGCTTGATTCAAACAAACACGGGTTGAGGGCCCTAATTCATCTTGAGCAGGATCTTTCCACTGTGCAATTGTTGCAATTGAGGGGCGAGTAGTTTGGAAGCCTTTGCAACTTTGAAAACAAAATGCCGGGGGGGTTGATTCAGGGTCAAAAGGGTCCAACCTCTCAACAACATAAAAGGGAAAAACAAGCTCCCACCGAGGCAGCGGAGAGTTGTTCACTGGCAAGGGAATCTCTGGGGGAACTGCAACTGAGAGTTCACCTGCTGCCAAAAGAACAGGACCGAAGAGCTTGTGAAGCAATTTTCGAGCCAAGATCCCATGCGGTTGGCCACTTGATTGCGGGATTGGTTGGCACCATGTGGCAGTACCCAAGTCACGGGGTCTCCCCCCTCCCCTGAAATTTCGCATTTGCTTTCAGGTTCATCCCAATACAAAACCCGACTTGGGCTTCCGTCGGTTCGTCTGATAACTTCCCCCACGGAGAAATTGGGGCAAAAAAAGGTACCCAAAATGGAACTAAATGATGAAATCATGGACTAAAACCTGGGGTCCCCTGGTGGTTTGATCAAATCAGGCCGATCGAGCCCTCGCACCCCAGCTTCTCAGCGCCTGCCGCTCGACCTCCGCCAGCCTGGCGACCGAAGCGCAGCTCCCGCTGCCTTGGCTCAGCCAGTGGCGACCCCTGCGAATGGCAGGGTTGCATCTCTTTCCCAAAAACCGGTCCCCAAATTTGAGGAAAAAATCAAGGAGCGAGGTGCGGGGCGTACAAGCATAGACAATCATGACCAAATACTTGAACTCAATCAAGTGTACGATTGTATGCTCAAATATTTGTGTATCATGGAAAAAACCTGTTGTAGCAGTAGGGGAATGCACCGATGGACGTTGTCCACTTCGTTTCCCTTTTGCCAAACTCCAAAACAGCTCCTCGGAGGAGTCCTGCAACAAGTGAGCCATCTCAGGGGTCAAGCATCGACATTTTCGGGGTGTGCTTCGCTTTTTTCCCATGGACACAGGATTTTGGAAGATGAGGGAACATCACCCATCCCTGGTTCGGATCCCTTCGGAACAACTTGAAATTCTGGAATATTTCGTAACCAGCCAACAAATTGGCGGGGCAAATGGGTGAACGCAATTGAGCTCAATTGGCATTCCCTTTCACAGCTGGCTCAGAAGGCTTGAAATAGCTTAGTGTAGGTTGGCCAATTTCGCGTAACAAAACACAATTTATTTGTCTCAAGATCAAAGGATTTGCGCCATCTGTTTCCACCCTCGCGTAGTTGGAGCAACAGACAGAGCAAACTTCCATAAGGTGAACTTTAGGCGTGGCAACCAGCTCTCGAGGGTTAGTTGCCATTTCGGCTACCCAAAGCGAAAGCATCAGTGAACTATGCCCAAAACAAACTGACCACGCAAACACACACACACACACACACCGACACCCAAAGCCAGGGTGATGTGTTGGCAAACTGTTCAAGGTGCTAGCTGCTGGTTATCTCTCCTCTGACCCTGCTCATTGCTTGTCTGAGCCCTGACTCTGCCAGACGTGTCAGCTTCAACAAGCTGCATTGACAGGGCCCCTAGCACGGCTCAGCTGCTCAAGTAAAGGTCCTTTTGATCTCGCCGGGAGTATGAATCACCTCCCGAGAGAAGCAGCTTGACACACCATGGGCCCATGGGTTTGGCCCAAACTCTTGAGACCATGCGCTGCCCACGCGTGCTGTGGCTTGCCCGCATGGCCCACATGGCCCTATGGCCTGCCAAGACACCTCTCGCTCCCTGGCAGCGCACACGGAAGCCAGCCTTTTGCAGGAAGAAGGCAGTGCCTGCCTGGGAAGGCGGGACATGAAGGTGTGTGAGTGTGTGTGTGTACTCTCCTGAGGGTACCCTGTTGAAGATTTGTTGAAAGGCAAATCGAAAGGAAAACCACTGTTGTTGGGGTCCCCTATTTCCACGATTTCTTCACAAACCCCATGACTGGCTAGAAATGAGCGGGGCCTTGGCGGTTTCTCAAGTTTGCAGGTCCACCAAAGGATAGCACAAAGCCGAATGGTCTAACATACAAAATTGTCTCGGAATAGATCAAACCCTTAAATGGGTGAGAGACGCCCATTTGGTTTTGGCCAAGTCAAATTCACCCTTTTGGTAGCCGGGTTGATCAGCGGGCTTCTACCATGCATGCGGCTTTCATAGCAATTCGGTTGACCGACAACCTTCTGTTCGAGCCCCTGCTTGATTGGAGGTTGAGGGACCTCCATCATGTTTGTCGTTGTCTCACCCGCAACAAACAAATACTAGTACCTCAAAACAAACATACGATGCTTCTCCAAATATATGGCCATGGGTCAAAATCCCGTACCACCAGTGAACATCCCAATCCCCACTAAAATAGACTAAAATGGGTGGTGCACCTACCCCAAAATTGTGCCATTGGTTTTGACCCACAGCCATATAATACACATGATGAGCCAAGTATATGCAATACATCTCTCCCACCAATTAACATGTACCCTGACAGGGCCTTTAAAAGGACAACATGGTCCAGACCAGGACCCGCCGGTACATGATTTGTTCTTTCTCAGCAAGCCTCTATAACAAAACACATATGATGATCCTCCAAAACAATACAAATGATCCAAAAATACGCAATACTGTGGGATTTGGGTCACTAATGATGATTATCAGGATAATACACATGATTAATGTGCAAAACATGATGATTCACCGTTCCCCTCGGCAAACCTGTCTACCCGGGACGTCTACCAGGGCCCGGCCCGCGCCCGTGCGAAGCGCCTGGCCGAAGGTCTCAACTTTGAGCCCGCGCAGCAGCTCCACTTGGCCCGCAGGAGATCGAAGCTGCAAGGCCTGGAGCAGGTGGTACATGACCTGCGAAGCGGCGCGCAACGAACGAGGGCAAGGAATCAAGTCTACTTCTCCTAGGTCCAAGTACCTGCTTGTTCAGGGTATGATTGAAAAGAAAAAGCTCGACATCATACCCAGAAAAAAAAGACAGGTGTTTGGTGTAGGAGCTAGTTGGAGCCCTGACCGTTCATTGAAGTTGTTTTGTTTATGCGTCCTTCAAGCACTTGACTTTGCCTTTGTTCTTTCGAGTTTGCCTGATGCCTTGCATCCACAAGTAGGTCGCATGAAAGGAGCCCCAGCCCCCGAGTTGCCGTACTTTGGACTCCAAGCTAGGCCCAGCACCCTTTGCGAACAACTATTTGCAGCCGAACTCCACACAGCAGAGTAAGCACCGCAGAAGCTCACCCGAGCCAACCAACCGACAGCTCAGTACAACATGGCCGACATCCTGCTCCGGCCTGAAAAGGGGCTAAGATGGTCCCAGTGCAAAAAGGAACCCAACACGGAGATCAGGGCTCTTCCTGAAAGAGGCAACGGGCTGGAGCAAGTGGCCTGCCCCAGGCGCTCCCGGATCATGTCCACCTCCGGACCCTCCAGGGAGGCCTCCAGGGCTGACTACTCAACCAATCCAAGCCACCAATTAGGGGATGCCAGATTGAATGTACCCTGCCAGCAAACATAGAAGTGACTTGGAGCCCTTGGAAATCCAAACAGAAAGCAGTCCTTCTCTGTCCAAGTCCACGTCGACGAACTTCTTGGTGGGGGAACTAACATGGAACAAGAGAAACAAACACTTTTCGAGGAACCTCCTTTCAAGGGACCGCCTGGTTTGATTCCCCCTCTCTCAATTAGCAGGGTGAACAATTACACGCAATGCTCCATGAGGCAATTTGGCTTCATACCCAACGACATAATATGTCCAACTATAAAGTGTGCGCGCGTGTGTGTGTGTGTGTCAAAATGAGGGGCCTTCCAAGTTGCTTAAGCTTCCTTTTGATTCCCTTTAAACCACCCTCCCCCTCCCCCCCCCCCCCAAAAACAAAAAAAAGCAGACACACAGACACACACACACACAAACACAATGCGGGTGCGCCTTTCTAAGTGGGAACCCTTCAGGCGTCGGGATCTCGATTTCGATCCGAAGCTTCGGCCTCCAACGCCACCAAGTCCCGCAGCTCGTGGCGGCTCAACTTCCGCGCCGCCTAGCGAGCGAGAGGCGAGGCCGGCGAGGCTCGCCGGGCGGGTCTCAGACGCGCAGCCGCTGCCCCACCGCTGGCCCCACCGGAGCCAAAGCACCGTCCCCCCTTGGCCAAACCAAACAAAGCATCGCTGGTTCCTGGTTGGCTTTGTTCTTGTCCCTTTCGTCTGTTTGGGAATGGTGTTAGAACCTGAAATGGCAGCGCAAGGGAGAAGGGCGGCTTGAGATGTCCATATTTGAAGGGGCACCATCTATTTTGGCAGTCATACACTGACATCAAACGAAACAGCTCCTGAGTAAGCTATACCATAGATCTTTCATGGAAACGTGCTGGATAGCCAACCTTTGAGCATGAGAACAGTAAGGAACGGAGCGAATTTCAAGGACGTATGGGCTTCTGCCGAGTCATAAGACTTCTGCCCCTCCAGTCCTGTTGACTCCTCGATTTGACTTGGATACCCATACTCACTTGCCACCAGGAGGGCAAGTGAGACCCATGACGTGATTCATTAGGGTACGGTTTGGATGCGGCTTCGGGTGAGGCGCAATCCAAGCCCTCAAAGAGCACTCGAATGAAAAGCCGTAAGGCATCTGACTCCAGGTGCATGGATTCACCTCCCCAAACCCACAGGGTACAAGAGGCCTCAGAAACGAAGAAATCGCTGTTCAGCCATCGCACACGCTTGCTCCACAATGCATTGATCGCATTCACATCCCAAGTGAAGCCTTTGACAGACACGCAAGCTTCTCTTGAGGATGGCAAGCCAAAGCTCACGGACGCGAAACCGCAACAATCGACGCTGCATGAAGCCTTCTCCGGTGCAATGATTCGAATGCACGCCTTCTTTGCGTTGCATAACGAGTGTAAATGACATATTTGACTTTCCCTGGGAACAAGGAAGCCGTTGTTTTGGCTAGTAAGACCGATGCTGTCATCCAACCAGTCGTTGGCCTCGCGCGCAAGTGCCGGCTGCAAGTAGTGCTGAGGAAAGACTGAGGCCAAGTCTGCCAGAGCTTGGGACCTGGGCTGCACGAAAGAACTTGTCTGGCGGGAGATCCTAGGCTCTAGACACATGGCATCGCCCATTGGGGGATTGTCTCACTTCAGTGATTCAGGGCGCGCGCATTGCTCATTGCCCAAGGAGTAAGAAAGCCCGACTCGGGTGCAAACGACTTGAAAATTGCAGGATGGCGCACGGATAAAGGCAGATCCTTCCACCAATAGTCTTGCATTGCGAGGCAACATCATGTATATTCATTATAGATATTATACATAATAATATACAATTACATTTATTTCGTAGGTCATTTTGTATGTTCATTGATTTAATTCCTGCGTGCCTCTTGGGGGGGAATGGGCTTGCAACAAAACGATCTACACCAAGGCACGGCACGCTGCCCTCTGCTAGCAGCTGTGCGGCCCGTGCGGCAAGGGCTTCAAACACCTCCTTAGGCGCGAGGCGCGACGCGCGAGGCCTATGCTACGGTGGATGCCTTAAATGGGAGTGTCCCTTTTTGGGGGGCCCCCCAAAAAACTGGTGGTTCTGTTGTTGGTTCTCCTTTGAAACAACAAACAAACAGGGGTAGCATCAAAAAACAAAACTAAATTGCAAGTCAGGAACATGGAGCCCTTCTAAGTTACTGGGTTTTGGCGGTTGAGTATGGTTGGTTTACTTGTAATATTTAGGCAATCCACCGTGTCTTGGCGAATTACTCTAGCCCATAAGGCCAAAGCACCTTGACTAACTTTCCATTCACTGGATGTGGGTGATAGCTCTTCCCAGGGTTACATTCCTCCCCCTGCAATTTCCGGAAGAAACGCAAAAGTGAGGGTCCCTTTAAAAGAAGTTCCTCTTAAACATGGCAGTTTTGTTTAGTCCCATTAGTCTGGCGAGGAATTACAGGCTGCAAACTTAAGGAATCCAAGCAAGTCGGATCTTCATGGGTGAGTTCGTCTTCCTCCAGGCTAGCTTATCTCAATATCTTTTTAAGACTGGATGCGGAGCCGCCGAAGCAAATGCAGGTCAATGGATCTGGGCAAGTTATACCATAATTCAGATCAAAGGAGGTGAGAACTAGTGAAGAGCTATACACATGAGTGGCCAGGACTGCCTAATTGGGATGGTCAAAACTTGCGTGGCCATGCGTTGCACAGGGATAGCCAGGCTATATTTGAAACAAAGCAGTAGAATAATAATTCGTGGATGTGCGCCGCGTGCGCTGCGTGCTCGCTGTCTCTGTGTCCCTGTGTCTCCGTGTCTGTGCGTATGTCTGTGTCTACACTTGTATGACGTGCCTGTATGATTGTGTGCGCGGGTGAGGGCTTGAAGTATCACAAGTTCACAAACTACCAGCTGGAAACATGCAGGTTGAAGCACAGCCTGTCATCCAGTCGTGAGTCTTCATCCGCTCTAAATGAGTCTAAGTATATCATTTGAAGGGACACTCTGGGCGTATGGATCTGTTCTCGCTTAGGGTGGGGGGCGGGGGGGTCTGGATTCTTCCCTGATCCCCACTTCCTGAAAGGCGAGGAGGGGCCACCCACGTTCCATCCCCCAACGTTCTTCCTGAACCACTCAAGTCCGAGTGGCCGTGTCGCGGCGCATCTTCGCGAAGGCCACGGCCACGTGGCTCACGTCCAGGGAGTTCAGGGAGTGGACTTCGCTCACGAAGCGCCTGATCAAAACTCGGGTTTCTGGAGAAGAAATATCAAATAGCAGCAGCACCAAAGCACCCCGCTTAACACACACAACATATATCATACATGTATATTCATATATATGCTCAAACAAACACCGCTAGCTTCAAAACACAAATGTCAAACACTCAACATACTTACACATTACACAAATACTTGATCAACTCCGTAGTCAGCCACAACGGCAAACTGGACGACACACACCTGCCTTCCTTGGGGCTGAAAAAATTGCAGCGATTGGTTGCAGTTGCTTCCCCCCCGTCCCCGCCCCTGGAACAAAAGGATAAAATAGGGTCAGTGGTGGATTCCCTAAACCAACAAGGCAAAAGAACACATATTCATTTCAGCAAATGGAAGGATTGGTTGAATGTATGGAGGGGGTTGGCAAAGTCGAGCCTTGAAGCGTCCCTTCCCGCAATGCAACTCCGAACGTCTCAATAGCACATGCGGATCGGGTCGGTGAGAGGAATGAACAGAACATGTGTTGGGCTCACTTAAAGCACTTGTCCAAAGCCTTGGACTCACAGGAAGTTTCACAGTGCGCGTCAACAACTTCACAACTCCCGTGGAAGTCCTCATGGTTGGCTTTGCCCTTTTGCCTCTTGGCCTTCCAGTCACCAAAACCAAAACAAAGAAACCACAAGTTTAGCAGCTGCTCTGCAGAACCGCAACCACGCCATCATTTCTAGAGGAAACTCCTTGTGACTTCTCCGCCAAAACGCGCCTCGCTGCAGGCTCAAAGAGCTCTGGCGCTTGGACGTCCGCCATGGCCAAGGCGTGGAGGACACTCTGAAGGTCACGCGCCTGCGGCCGAAGCCATTGGGAAGCGACACAAAGGAGGAAGTGGAATGATCATCCTCAAAATTGAGGCAGGCCCGGTTGGCATGACCCCGGATATCAACATGGAAAGCAAATCGTTTTTTGGGGTCGGCTGCCAGTTTTGGAGATGCCTCTAAGCTCCAAGCGGGTGGCTTAGGGGCTGGCCGACAGGCCGAAAAGACAACTAAAGAACAGGTCAACCAACGTTGACAAAGTGAACCTGACCAAAAAACAACCAGGCTACATATTAGACAAAAAGGTAGAAGTATTTTGAAACATGTCACCCCTCTGCTATGCTGTTCGTGCAAGGGAAATTCCAGCAAGCATGCTCTCTCCATTATCCTCAACTGGCAAGAGGAAGAAAGGGGGGGCCACATGTCCCTGCTGCGTTGCCCAGATCAAGACATACGCAGCTCTCGAAGTTAAGTTGGAGTCAAAGGTAAGCCAACCTTCAAGAAATTTACAACAAACACTACGGCGGACTAAGAATTACTTCCTACTCCAGAATATGTTTGAGCCCCCGAAAAGATGGGTTCATCATCTTTGGACGAATTGAGGTCCAGCCCTTCGAGGTCGCTGAGATGTTTGAGGTGAGGAAACATAGTTCCAAAGTACCTCTTTCCTCTTTCGGGCTGATGAGCTGTTTAAAACTAAGGGTCCCTGTATGTCAGAGGAAAACGAGTTGGGCATCAAAACAAAGCACCAAACAAAATACCCGGTTTCGCGTTGGCTCGCTTTCAACAATTCAGTAACATTGCTTCCCTAGATGGCGTTAGCCATGACAACATTTCTCTCAAAAGCAACACACAGTGCCTTGAGAGTCAATGCGACGCCACAGTCAGACCCTGCCTGAAAGGAGCCGCCGCGTGACGAGGCAGCGGAGGCGGCTGCCTGTGGCGAAAAAACATCAACAACACACATCAAGATTTCGGGTGCGGGCTGCGGGAACATGCCTTGCTTTGCAACCTCTGCTGATCCCTTCCCAATGGTCAAAGGTCCCATCGGAAATAGTTTTTATTGTTTGCCCCCGATTCATTTTGGATCGCCCATCGGGCGTCAGTTTTCGCGCGCGAAGCTTCGCAGACTGTTTCAGCCTCGAGAACTTCCGGGTGCCGGAGCTGCAGCGACGCATAGGTTGATACCACCATGGAGATTGCCCGGCCATCGAAGTCCTCGATTCGCGCACCTGAGAAGGAAACATATTGGTGACCCTAGATGGGTTCCATCAAGTAGGTTCTAGGATGCTACACAAACATTGTCCTTTCTGTGGTGCAGGCTCGAATTTGTGTATTACAAACTGATTTGGGTCCCCTGAGCTGAAAAAAGGCCAAGGACTCGGCATGTCCAAACTAGGGCCGTGTTTGAAATGGATCCAAAACCGAGCTGAAAGGGTCGCTATAGGCTAGTTTACCAACCCTTCTTTATTCCAAAGCACACAGCTAGCTTATTGAACAAGTTCTCTAGACCTCAACATCGAGTTGCAAGTGCATGATGCGAGAGCATACACAACACAGCTTCCTAGGATTGTGGGAAGAACAAACTCATTCAGACACGTTCGAACGGTTCTGTCCCATGCTCAAGGCAATTTCTAGGTTTCAAATGCTCATCTTCAAACAGGGATCCTTACATTATACACCAGAACATTGCCTTGTCAATGGTGGTTTCCCTTTATTTTGGCGGGAAAAGCCATGCTTCAAATGGCCAACATGTATCTTTTAAGGAGCCCTGTCAAAACAAAACCAAAAACAACCCTTGGAACCTGCGGCAAGCAGCGCCCGCGCAAGGAGCGCCCGTTCTGCCGGGCCGCAAGTCTCTTTGGCCACAGCTTGGAAGAGGCGGTCGGCCCTGGAAGCCGCTCGCTCGACTCGGATAGTGAGGGGACGGCTCAACGGGTTTTTGTTGCGCGCTGGGGATCATCTTCATTCAGCCCCAAAGAGGACCTGAGAGGACCTTACCAGAGGACCTTACCAGAGGACCTTACCATGGGTGGTGACCGCTTGAAAACATGGATGGCCCTGGTAAATGCAATAAACTGAACTAGCGGAACTCTTCCGAAAATCGGGGGTAGTACTCCTGAACCCAAGGCCATCTCCCTTTCTTTTATCTGTTATCTCCCTGAAATCCCAAATCGGGTGTAGTTTTTCTGAACCCCTCAACTGGCACATGGACTAAAACCCGTCTAATGATCCTTGCCTTTTCCGTCCAAAAAGGCCTGGCTCAGCGTCCCAGTTGAAAGGCCGGGCATTGGAGTGCTTCTGGGTGGGGTTCAGGAGCCGAAGTGCATTCTATGTCATGAGGGAATTTCATTTTTTTTCCATGACGTGGAGTTTTTCTCAAGAAAAAGTTACAAGGGGTTCAACTGATGTGGAGTTTCTGTCAGAGTTTGGGATTGCTTCGGGCTGGCTGGGATTGGGATTGGAATGGGATCGAGTTGGCCCATTGATCCGGTTTGGCTTGGCATCTTTGATTGGCAGATTGTTGTTCACAAGGCATGCTCATGTGCAATATGGCTTGTCCCTCAAAGACATGTGAACATTCGGCAATCCACCCCTCTGGTTTGTGGCAAAATTAGTTTATTTCGTGTGCGTGTGTGTGCAGGGAAACAGTTGGTAGTTCATGCATGTCCTCCCTATATCATCAGTTGCTCACGCGTTCTATTCAGGTCGCCAGCTGTTCCGCAAAAAAGAAACGTGAATCTAAAAAGAGGTACATTGATTAACAAAAACAAGTATCTGACCTGTGGACGCTGTTACTCTCGTGACGAGCCTCGTACATAAATGGCAAAGACCGGCAGACTGCTGGTTTTTCTCAAGCGCCTTAGCGCCAACCTTTGTTCCACAGGCAGGGGACGACACTGGGTGAAGAGAGATGACAGCTGTGGTGGATGCCCTAGATATTGCAAGTAAGATACCCAGATTTACCATGAATTTGTGGTTGATGTACCGAACACCAAGAGGGCAAGCAAATCGGCTCGGCTTCCTTAGCTTCCGCTCGAGTGGCGCTCTGAACCTCTGGCTTCTATGCTTCTGGGGTTGTCAACAAGTGGAACGCCTCCACAGCAAGCTTTGTCTACCTTTGGTTTGCAGTGAAAAACAACGATGCAAACGGGTTGAAGCAGACCCTGAGAACAAACCCAAGCATTTGGGACAGAGCCACCTGAGGCCGTCCCGCCTTCGTTTCCTCTCCCTCCATCCGGCCTCAGCCTCAGGGTGGCATAGGACCAGACCAGGTTGGACAAATTCTGGGGCGAGTAGTGCTGCAGCTTCGGCAGCGCGTGCTCCGCCAGCCTCGTGAGGAAACCCCCGCGGCTGTCCCATGTCCGTTCCCTTCCCGGTTCATGTCCATTCACACTAAGATCCCCGCATCCGTTCCCATTCCGATTCCCATTCCCGTTCACACTCTCATCCTCATTCGCATCTGAGGACCTGGAGTAGTTGGGTGGTGCTCTTTGGGGGACAACTGTCTTGGTTGGCGTGAACGTGAAAGCAAAAAACACAAACACAATCATTCTGGGAGCCTCCTATGCTTGAGACAAACCTTGTTTGCGCGTTTCATACATTTGCCTTGAACGCTGAAGCGGCCAAGCACGCGTGTAGGAAGGTCTTACCCGCAAGAGGTGAGGCGTAGGTTTGCGTGGTGACAGACTGGTGTCCGATTGGCACATCACTCAATGCACGCACTGCATGTGCTGCATGTAGCGTTTGAGCATTTGATGCGTATGCAATGCATGTAATGCGTGACTTCCCTGTCATGTACGCAAAGCACTTGTTTCGGCTATGCCTGTGCGTACGTAGGTACGACCATATTTGGTCTTTACGACGTTATTCAAGGGTGGGGAAGACAGGGCTTGACGAGTAAGACGCGAAGCTCTCCTTTGTAACCAGGCTCTTGGCCAAATGAAGAAGCGTGACATGCTACAGAGTATAGCCACTTCTTGGTTGTATTTCTATACAACCTTTCCGGGCCCAGAATAAAGGACGCGCAGGACACAAACTCGTGGAGTTTTGCGACCGTCATAGTGTGGACTGATTGTACACTCCCAGAAAGATATGCCCGTGAGGCAACTGCACACACACACACACACACCACGCTCAAGCCGTGCAAATGCAGTCCCCCAACGTACACATGTCAAGGTAGAAGTGAGCACTTTGCAAGCAACCCAGCAATTGGAAAGCCAAATCACCTCACACAGCGGGAAATCCGCGGGTAGATATCATCAAAATATGGCTGTGGCTCAAAGTTAAACAGGAGGGGTTACGCAGGTTTTGGTCCATGTTTCCACTTACCAGGGTTCCATTTTGGTACCGGTTTTTTGAGCCACACCCATATGTTCACTGACGTGCCGACCTGCCAAAAGACATCCGGTGTCAATACGAGTTTTCATGATGTTGACCCCATATTCATCAACCCCAGTTTGTCATCGGGGGGGTGTTCCCCTCGAAAAGCGGTCTGGTTCCCCACTAAACCCGGAAATAGACACCCCCTATCAAGAAACATTCTTCTTCTCGAGGAGGCCTTTGCAACAAACGTTGTAGTGGCTGGGTTCTTCCTAACCGACCAGCTGCCTGATCTTCGAGTTGCTGGCAAAATGAAAGCCACAGAGCGCCTCTGCAGCTTGTCATCAGAGGCACTGAGGTCTGAAACAGCCGCATCTGCCGAATGCCCGAAGATCCCCCGGCCTCGCAAAGAGGTCTTCTGAAGAGATGTGGAGAGTAGCAAAAGCCCAGGCCTCGCATCGCTGGTTCCCCGGCATCGATTGGGGGCTCCGAAAGCAAACTGAGTAGCTGGGACCTTGCAGGTGACCACATGGTGAATACAATTTTAATGGACCCTCCCAATGTGTGGTACATGGGGTACATGGCTATGCACATCAGAAACCTAGCTCCAGCCCCACGAGCCCAACCCAGGTCAAACCGCATCATCGCCAGGGTCAAACGCAGGGTCAAACGCAAGGTTCGCTCCCTTTCAACTTCGAGCAGGCATCCGCCAAATACAACGCACTTCAAATTGGCAACCAACTTTAGTGTTAGTTGAAAGAACATCTAGCTGGAATCTTACAACAAATCCCGGCCCCGACTTGGGGCCGGAGTACCCAACTTGTCCAAGGCTCCGTATTGGCCACGTTCTGCGGCTTAAAGGCACGGAGCGTGGTCAGCACCTGGAAGGGCGAGACACCTCTTGGTGCAGAACCATCGCTTCCTGCTTGCGTTGGCAGAAGAGTCCAAACTGTGTCGTTGCCATTGACATATCTCCCAACTGCAAAGTCCATTGGGCCTTGGGGCTGGCAGGAGCACTTCAGGAACCAACACAGGGCCCATGTTCAGCTCGGCCAAAAGCAAACTTGCTGTCGCTGCCTGTGATTTCGAGTGACTGTCGCATCCCAAGTCCATAAGCGCGACTCCAACATCGACAAGCGATCCAAAGGATCCACACACTCAAGTTCAGCTGTTCTACTTCACCGGCAAAGCGATAGGCATACAGGTGCGATGCGGCGAGCTGAAAGCAAGCAACACAAACTTCGCAACATGAAGTGCTAAGCAAGGACTTCTTGGTCACAGGGATCCTTACATTATACACCTGAACATTGCCTTGTAAATGGTGGTGTCCCTTTATTTTGGCGGAAAAGGCCATGTTTCAATTGGGCAACATGTATCTTTTAAGGAGCCCTGCAGTCATTTCACATGTGCATCTTCATTTCGGCAGCTCTCAAACATGTCCGTTTGATTTCCCCATGTTGGGCGGCAAATCGCGCGACTTTGCTTCAAGGCAAACCAAACTTCGCCCCTTTAAGGGGCTTCCACACATCCGCATTTCTTACACGAAAAAGAAAACAAACAACGACATGAAATAAGAAGTGGACCCCCAAGTAAAGAATATCTTTCCCAGGAGCTGGTTTTCCCCCCCGAATCGGTGAGCTCGAACCATCCGCCTCCTTCGCCAGCAAGTCCATCAGTCCCAGGTGCCGGAAGCTGAGTGTGGCATAGGCCCAGGCGGTGATGGACAGGTGTTGCGGCGTAAAGTCCTCAAACAAACGCGGGTGCCCTTGTAACTCCACTGATTCTCGCATAGAGCCTCTGACAAACACCCCAAACGCTTGGCTTCCAGATGGTTTTCCAATTCAGATTGCCGTACTTCGCAGAATGTTTGATGTGCCCACTTCGTGTTGGGAGTTCTCATGTTTTTTGGCAAACACCCCAGGCGGCCAAGGGCTGCGAACGATAACCACCTGGAATCTGAGGGTCTGCGAACTCGCGCTCTCCTCCAACATGCCGCAGGCCGTGTCTGCGATGGCCGCCATGAGCCTTAGGTGGCGAGTGGTGACGTTAATGGAAACCGGATCTGGTGAATTTCAACTGAATTCCTTCTCCAAAACATGCCAAAAGGCCACAATTAACTTTTCATTTTGACCCGTCTATTCTTTGGGCGAGAAACAATGCAAGGGGAAGCCAACGTCAAAGCGGTGTGGGCAAATGTCCTAATATCAAGCAAAGGCAGCAACCATTCAAATTGGCAAAGCAATGCATCACAAACCGCCTGTGAGTCACCTTGCCTTAGAACCGATCCCCGTGATGCAAGGGGGCAAGGCTTTGCCCAATTTCGATGTGGCTGCTTGGGCGCACACCAAGCGGCCTATGTCAAATGCACGAGTGGCCCACCAAGAAATAATCAGGTAATAAGGCAACACGTGGTTGGGCTTCCATCATTTGGGGTGTCCATTCGTTTGCCCTTTTATAACACCCCCAACAAGAGTACTTGGATGTTCGGCCAAGTCAGGTGGCTTGCCACGTGGATTCTAACCCACTAACAGGGATTAACCCCCCACACGGGGGCTTTACAAGTGGGACGACTTGCAAATTTGGCCCTTCATACCCAAGCACTCACCAAAAAACGTACACACACACACACATCCTGGCGCTGGTCCGTCTGCTCAAAGACTGAATTTGCAAGCTAACAGGAGGATGTTGAACAGGGGAAGTTTTACTTGTAGATAGCAACCATAACTAGAACCCCGCTTGACATTGTCACTCTGCAAGACCATGTTCATGTCTGACCGAATATGTGTTTTGGCACACCAAAGGTACGAACCCTTGCCATGCAATGATTTTGATCTGGCCCTGCGTCATGCACTTTTACACACTGCAGTCAAGCTGCCGTACATGAAGAAAGATCAGTTTTGCGCATGCCCATACCTGAGCCGAGGACCAAGTCATGCTTGATACATTGGTCAAGAAATCACCTGCAAGCAAACATATAATGTTACACAGCTGAGACAAACCTTACGTGCATCCTTGTGGTTACCTATGCCGAAAAGGCCCGTCTTGCGAGCCGGGTCTGCACAGTCTGCGCAAATCCCTACAGCATAGTGCGCGCTGGACAAGGGGTGTTTGCTTCAATCCACATAAAGGCAGCTCAGCTGGGGGATTTCAGCACGGTGACCTGTCTTGGCGAAGGCGAATGGAGGTACAAGCATGGAGTCAGGGTGCCAAGGCGGGCCCAACGGAGCCCCCCCTGGCCAAAGTGCCCATGTGAAGAAGCTTGAGGCAATTCTGCGTTGAGTTCGCCCCAGCCAAACACACCAACCGCTTGTGTGTGATCGTCCGTTTTCACAAGGGGATGGACGGCTCTGACATCTCATGGCATGGCCGTCATATTCTACTTGAGCGTTGGTTTTTATTCCCTACAAACTTAATTGGACATTACTCAAGCTTCCGCGGACCTTCCGCATCCTTGCCGCGGGCCAAGAGGTCCCTTCCGCGAGCTTCCGCGGCGCATGTGCTCCATTGGTTGCTTCCGCAAACCTTCCGCGGCGCATGTTTTACAAGATTTGCTTCCGCGAGTATTGGCGCAGGAAGAGGAAGTCATTTTAAGTAAGGAAGAAAAGTATCGTTTCGCCGCAGCCTGTGTAGGCTTGGGCCCCATTGAGCTACCCCTTCAAACACGGGGCCATCCTTCCGCGGAGCTTCCGCGAACCTTCCGCAAACCTTCCGCGAAATCCGCCAGCTGTTTTGGTCTTCTTGGCTTGCTGTTGGCAACTACTCTTCTAGTAAGCGTTGAGCTTCTTGTACGCAGCAACACCTTGCTGCTTCTACTGCAATCCTTTCTCCGTGCTTTTCCGCGCACGCAAACTGAAACAATTAATTCCATATCAGCCACAAAGCTTCCACACACCTTCCGCGAAAGAATCCCTTCCGCGAAGCCTTCCGCATGCTTCCATGCGTGTTGCGCGGTGCACATTTTCAATAATAATGTCCCTCGCTCTACTAAATTAGCTTGCGGCAACCAAAAAACACCGCTCACTTGGGCTGGGCAAAACTGGTCAAATAAATTTGGCCCTTCCGAACCTGTGAATGGGGGGGTTCGTGCGAAACATCCACAAACCCAGCCCAGCACGGACAATTACATGTTTTTCAGGCTAGTTAACTGCTCTGTTGCGGATTGGGGTTCCATCGTATGGAGACCAACGCATTTCCGGGAATCTTCTATCTTGCTTGGTTCAAGGGGAACACAACAGGAGACCAACCGTTGTGGAGGTAATGTGCATTCGCATGCTGCAAAAGCAAGAGATCAGAACTGGGCCCCCTCTTTTTTGTTGGACAAACCCAAGTCATTGCCACGCTGCTGTGGTCATGAGGTGCTGTGCGGAAAAGTCCTCGAGGCGCTGCGCCGTTTCCTCCGCAAGGGTCTGCATCAGCTGAAAGTCCTGCTGTCTCAGACATGTGGCGCAAAGCACTTGCTGAGAAAGCGCTCTGATGTATTCATGAAGCCCAGGCATCCCAAAATCAAGCAGCACATTTATCGTCAGTCAAACCAAGTCTGCCGCAGCCCCTAGCTGTCAAGGCGCTGTGCCCACTAACTTGTTTTCAGATACCATCTTGAAATTACATTCATGGCAGCCAACAACAAATCCAATCACAACATGATAAACAGCAACGTGACATGCGCATGGCGCCAGCTTCCCACCGGTCCTTCCTGGCCAATTTTGCGAAGGACCAGGCGCACATGGACAATTGCCTCGTCAGGCGGCACTGGGTGCGACCAAAGGAGGTTCTGGAAAAATCGAAGCATATTAAACACTATCCCCTTTGGGAGTTTTGATCAAATTGAGCTTCTGCTAAATACCCATCCCTTGGTTTCCCCCGGGGGTAACGAAAAGGTTGCTATTCAGCACGGGCCGGTCGAGCAAAAACAGCCATTTGTGAGAGCGACAAACTGGGTGCACCACGGCGGTCCTACAAGGAACAACTCAAGGAACGAAGCAAAAGCAGCTGCGCAAGCCTTAAGCAACGCCCCACGACTGCAAATCCAGTGCACACCCCATCAGCCTTCAACCACGCTCAACCCTTTCAGCCAGCCCAGCCAATAAACGCCCAGGAACACGCTAACCTGTCCGTCTCCTCCGTTCAAACTTTGGCATCGATTAAAGTAGTCTTCGCAGGCTTCCCTAGAGACTTTGAGAGCGTCATATAAACCAAGGTCGGGTTGCTGTGCGGAGCAGTCGTAGATCTTCCGGCAGGTCTCTTCCGAGATGATCTCCTGTCAAAACGCCAAGCGGCAAACTTGAAGAAATGCGTCTGTCTGCTTTTGGGGTACCTCATGATTGATTGGCTTAAAAGGAAAATCAAAGGACAACCACCACTTTGGAGCTTTTGCGAAAAAGACACGCCCAATTGACGCACCACCAGGGCTTTGCAAAAAACTTTCGGTGGCCGCTTGTCACGGGGAAACCATCCTCTGCGCCCTTGGAAACACCATCCACTGCTAGCCATCCGACCGCAAGCAGAGCTCGCTTTTGTGCGAACATCCACTGTGGTCGTGAGAGCAGGAGGCAGCCCTCTGACTTTTGAATGTGAGGGAAACATCACGCATTTCCTCGCGCTCAAAGGCTATTTGGGTGTGTCTGTTTTTAGAGGTACCCACAAAATGGTCTTGTCCCTTTGAACTTTGGTTTCCCTTCAACACCAACCAAAGGTTCCCCAAACAGGTCATGCATTGAACCAGGCTCCAAGAAATGCGACGCCGGGCTGAGGCCAAGGACTGTTTCACTTGACTAGACGGATCCGACCCCCTGCAAACGATGTTAAATTGTTTGCTGGTGGATTGGTTTTGCGATGGAGGCCCACAAAGACGGAGAAGTTCAAAAGGTAAGCTAAGTCTGGCAATGTCTGTTTGAAGAAATCCATCGCTGATGGTCAGAGTCATAGCTTACAACACACCCAGTTATCTTCAGAGGACCATACGGACGGTTTGTCAAAAGTGGTGCTTCTAGCAAGCTTTGGAACAGTTGTCCTCGGAATGCTTCAAATGGCTTGAAACAGGAAGTAGCATGCGACTTTAAGGTACACAACCCCAATTCTATAACTATTTGGGCCTCTACTGCCAAGTAACAACTAATACATGATATCATCAATTTGGGCATGCTCCTGTCAATACAAGTGGCATAGATGTTGTCATGTTCACATGTATGTCAGTAGGACCAAAGCAAAAAAAAAAACAAAACACAAAAAATAAGAAAAAACAAAAACGCCCTGTTTCGGCCTCCAAGGCCTCTGTTTCGGCCCCGCCCCATGCCCCGTTTTTTTGACCACCCGCTCCAAGAGCTCGGGGTGCTGCAGCTGCAGCTGAGCAAAGGCCCAGGAGGCGTTGCAAAGAGACCGGGTGTCGATGTAGTAGACCCAGTCCTCAGATCCCTTGGGTTTTGGGTTTCGAAGCCTCAGGTCCGTCCCTGCTTTTGGTGGGCTTTAAAGGAGATGCCAAAATGACAACCGTTGAAATCGCCATTTTGGAGGGTGCTTGAGAAACAACACACTCCCATTTGCCAATGAAAGGCGGGATTTCGGGTGACCCTCCATTCCTGGGAGCGAGAGTGGCAAACCGGCCTTCTCTCAACCAGATGGATGCAGTTCAGTGCTGGTTGGGGCTGTCTTGCAGACCTCAAATGGGGGCTCCCGAAAAATGGCCAATTGAGGCCCAGTTCCCGCGGCTTCGGTTGCCTGCCAGGTGCTGACGTCGGTCGAAAAAGGGAAACCTTTGCGGTAAGCAACATTGGAAAATTGCGCCACTGAACAACTGGGTCAAGTTCGGGCGAAGGGCAAGCCAGTACCAAATCTATCTAGTCTTCGAGCCATGATGATGGGTGGCAAGGAATAGATGTCATTGGTTCTCCAGAGCTTCGGGTACATCATCTGTGCCGTGTTGGTTGCGGCATGAAGGGATTTGTCAATTGCAACTTGCCAAGTACAAACACATGAGATGCTTGGACCCTCTGGCTTTGGAAAGCAACACGGCGATTTGCGGAAGTCATGTACGTGATGAGATTCTATCAGGAGGGACTCCTGAATAACGTGGAACACAAATTGAAAGCATCCTTGTCGGTTATCTTGTTGACTCATGGCTCGCGCGAAGATCGGAAGGGTGCCATCCATTGGCCGCATTGGTATCATGAAGAAAGCTGACACATCGGGGACGGGCCAGGGGGGGGGGGGGCGGCGGGGTTGCAACATGTTCCTCCTGGAGTTCCATATTTATCCTGGGGGCCACCGCATTCAAAATATATATATATATATATTATATTTGTATATATGTATTATACAGACCCTCAATGAGGCGGTTTTAACGTAGCATCTTGCTAATAATGCAGTGAGTGAGTGTCCGATGTGGATGTCCTTTTCAGTGTGCCACCAAAATGGTGCTGTTATGTGCTGTTGCTTTTGGTCTCCCTTCAAATCCACCCACAAAAGGAATACCCTCATAAAACACAGACCCATGTCCAGAAATGCGAGAGAGAAGAACAGTGAGGATTCTTTTGGACCTGGCACACTCTCCTGTGTGTGCTCCATGGAGGTGAGACAAACACGCATTTAAAATCACTGGTGAGTCAAGGAAGAGGCGATCCACGCCGCACAGTAGTGTTCCAAAACTCGCAAGCAAGTGAAAACAGAATCAGGCGGGTCTGTGACAAACTTGGGAAGCCCTCTTTGGCGGTTTGAAAGAAAACCACGCACCTGAAGGAGTCCTTCATGAGACAAGCACATCCCCACCTTTCTGGCACGGCGCGTCTCCCGGTACTCGCCTTCCAGTCTCCGCCTTCTCCATCTCGTCCTGCGCGGCGAGCGTGTGCCGGTGGCAAAAACTCAGGGGATTAATAAAGTCGCGTTCCTTGTCAGAAAGGTGCCTATCTAGGAATTGGACTGATTGGTACGCAGCCATAGACGAAACAAAACGAGGATCAAGCTTTGGTACGGTTGAGACACATTGAGGCCCGGTGTTTGAGAAGGTTGACGGGATTTTCTCCCGGCTTCATGCAAGGGTTATCACAACTCCACGGAACCGAAGCTCAAGGGAGACCAAGCTCATGGCAACACCCTCCCCCAAAACCACACGTCCGAATGTGTCCTTCTTCGAGCTCATGAACATGCCTAAGCTCGGCTCCCAAGCAAGGGCCCTCCAAGCAAATGCAGCAACACATGTGGAGGTCCTTGCAAGGTTGCTTTGCTTCGACGACGCTCGTCTTTGAGTGGCTACATAGTGGGCCCAAAACAACGCAACGTCACATTTGTTCTTGTGTGTGTGTGTTGAATCAAGCGGACCCCAAAATGGCGGTCAAAAGGGGCACCCACCCAAAAACGCACACACACACACACACAGTGCGTGCCACTTTTTCAGTGGCCGCGAACGGGCATTGTCCAACCATGATCCAATGCCAACATCACCTCTGCGTCTGCCAAGTTCGGATGCACGATCTGGTGGTAAGATCGCACGACTCTCCGCTAAAACACAGCTCAACAAATAGGCTACTTGGCACATGCAGGGAGCCTTCCAGAGTCGACATGCGGCAAAATGGTCTGCACAGGCTGCTTGCATCAGTCTGTTTGAAAGAAAATGCACTTACCAGAGCTTGACCTGCACGGCATCTACAAGCAAGCAAGCAAGGAAGGCTATGCCAACGTACTTAAACAAAGCCGGGACACTGGTGATGCGCCGGTTCAGGTAGTGAATGCGGGGATCTCGGCGCACCTCAAACACACGGCTTCAGCGCACTGGACCTACAACATGATCGGTGGCACATCGGTCTGGATCAAGTGTGAGAGCTCACCGCCCGCATTGTATGTTTGCTTTGGCTTCGAAGAAAATCAATATATCGCTCCTCACATTGCTAAGTTCATATTGAAATAGATTGCTGGCAAACGATTACGTGGCATGTCCGGGAGAAGAAAACAAAGCCTTCCAAGCAAAGCCATTACTTAAAACGTATACACGCTTCCCAGAATGGAAAGTCATCTTCCCACACCTTCCTGGCTTCTGTTGGGAGGGAAGCAGGCAGCAAAATCACTGAGTTGTTGGTTGCGTCGCATCCATGAACAAAAAGAAAATGGCGCTTCAGAACTTCAAGCCCCAATGCAAAGGCAACGGTCATCGGCTTTGATTCTGCAACCCTGGCATGGGAATCTCTGTTCCAAGACTCCGCGGGCCCCGAATCAATGCGGCCTTCGGGAGGTATCCGCGACAACCAGTCAACCTCTAGCGCCCTTCGCATCTTTCAGAAAGATGCCAGAACTTAGTCTGAACTCAATGAACAGAAACATCCGTGTTGAATTCAATGAGTTGCGTGGGAGTCTTTACCCGACTGTGGCTGTGACATCACTTAAAACCACACACAAGGATGGCCCGGCTTTGGGGCTGGCCATAAGCTCAGAAAGGCCAATAATTGCTTCATCTCATCGAAAACCTTCGGACGCCTGGAGCTGAGCATTCCTCACTAAGTCCAGGCTTGAACTCAGTACAACAAATGCGCCCGAGCTACCTGGCACACACATACAACATAATCTCCAAATGCTGCAAGTCGTTCGAAACCTGAAGCAGGCGAAATCATGCAAAGGACCTACATTATGGTAAGCTCGTTTTACTCCCGGGTGAGCACGCCAGAAAAATCGGCCAACATCGATGGTTCGCCCAGTTTGGGCACCCCAAAAGATGCCCCCACGGCCCCCCCCGAATCGTGGGACCCAACCGAGCTGCTTGGAGGCCATCCGCCGCGCGGGCGATGCGGTGCAAGGCCGTGACAGCGTTCACCACGCTGAACTCCAAGAGTTTCCTGACAATTCTCCGAAGGGTGCCCTTTGCTTTGTGTTTTTTAAGGGTACCCTCCAAAAGGAGAATTGGTCCCAAGGTCATGCTGACGACATTCTAAGGGAGTCAGGGAACTAGGCGGACCTCTTTTTGCGGATTTCAGGATCATTGTCACGTATTTCCCGGAAATGTACTTAGTGCATTCAACAAAACTGCGCGTGTCTCGACAGGCGTGTGTATGGGTCAGTCATTGTTATGTGTTAAAAAATCCCAGCAGACACCTGGTCTGCAGGGGGGCTAGCAACCAACAACAAGCAGCCTCTTCAGAAGACAAATCCACCCTCCTTAGCCCCCAAGCCGCACAAACCGCGCAGGAGACTTGATGGCCGGTCTTTTGTTGCGGGCAAGTCTCTTTTGAGGGCGGTTCCACGTCTTTGGGATCCCTTCCGCTCAGTCCTTTCCGACCCGACCCCGTCTTCATGCCCAGCGTCGTGTCCAAAAGCTCCAGGATCTCATGGGCGCTGGCCTGCCAAAACACGACAGGTAGGCAGCAACTCCTTTTGGGGCGATAGAACTGGGATATAAGATAAGTTACTAAAAACTTACTTAAGTACACCACTTGCAAGTAGAGCGTGTTTCTGTCTGTCGGCAAAAAGGGACGAGGGAATTCCATCTACATCCATCTACTTAGGAGCTCTTTCCAACACCTTGGCCCTGTGAAACGCGACCCGCAAAAAGGGTCGCTACGCAGTTGACTACCTATGCGATTCACCCAGGAGCGATGTGCGCAAACAATCTAGGTTCACAGTGCTATGCAACAGCGCGATGCCTGCTTTGCAGGTAGTTGCAAGAAGCTTCCATGAACTCAGTACCACACTGTGCGGCCAGCACGCACGGGCACTCAAACGCACAAACACGCACAAACACGCACACACAGTCACACACACACACACACCACACACATACAGACACACAGACACACAGACACACAGACACACAAACACAAACACAGACACACACACAAACACACACACACACACACACACACTTGATATGAGACGGCAAAACTGACAATGTGCACCCCCGAGCAACTGGAAGGTGAGAAGTGGAGAATGGAGTTTCGGCTCCGAGCAAGTCAGGACATTGTTCGTCAAGCAAGCCTCCTCTTCAGGGACGCCATCACCTGCTTGACTACTACACGCCTGATCATGCCGGGAGGTGGCGTCCGACTCCAAACTCAAAAGGACAGCGGAAACCCCTTAGAAACAGGGGGGCCACACACACACCCCCCGCAGGGGGAAAAAACCGAAACGCCTGAAAGCCGCCTCCATCATGATTCCCGATGGGTAATTTGGTCTGTTTGCGGAACTCCTGCCTATACTCAATTGCTCGCGGTCATTTTGACATGTAGCATCACCGTCTGGGCTCAGGTGCATTGGTTCGAAATGGTTGCTTTCTGATGCTGCTCCTTCAGCTTTCTGAGACGCTCCAGGCTCCTCCAGCGCTGCGTGACATCCGCGATGGACCGGTTGAGCTTCTTGGCCAACGATTTGTACGAGTACTTGGACCGGTTGTCCGCTTTCAGGCTGCAAAGCTGCTGGTCATCTTCCTCTGTCCAGGCGCGAGGTACTTCCGGGGGAGTTCCTGGATTGCCGGCATCGGAGTGAGCACGAGCAGGAGGTTGAGGAAGGGATTCAGGAGAGGAGAACAGGCCCGCGCAAGGAGAGACTGGAGCTGGCGCTGGAGTGCGAGGTACTGGACGTGCTGGAGGTTCCGGGGAGTGCGTCCTCTCGGAGGATGTAGCACGGCATCGCTTCCGCTTTGTTCTGCGCCGATCGGTCCCACCCTTGTCCATGATGGAGCTGGGAATATTGGCCTTCTTGATGCTCGGCTGACCAGTATGGGTGTGCGCCATGGAGCTCTTCGGGCGCGGGTCTATAGCCTCGTTGGCATCCCCCGCGATGATGCCGTAGGACAACGACTTGGGGTTAACCACTGCGTTGTGCTGGTGGTCCACGTGTAGCTGGAGTGACGGAAAGTCGACTGGTGGTGGAAGGTCGGCCAGATCCTCCGAGTTGACCGAATGCCGAATCCCGGGGCCAGGTGGTTCTATATACCTCATCGAGTCGTGCATGGTCGTGTGCTCGCGGTCGCGATGATTCTGCCAACGACAGACCTCGCACATGGTGCTGCCGCACGCAATCGTGCCCGCCATGAATCCTGCGACTGTGTGCCTCGTCAGCCTGATTCAGAGTCTCCTGGATGAGCTGCATCATGTCCGCAGCGTTCTGGGTCATTCGGTGGTGAAGTGCTATCATGCGTCCGAGCATGACGACCGCTTTCCGATGTCGGCGAAAAGGCCCACGTCTTGAACCACCAGACAAGCTCCGTGATGAACCCAAGAGTCAAGGGGCCCCCGGAACCCAAACAGAAAAAACGAGCGCAACAGCCCAACCGAGCCAGACCCGGTTTGGAAGAAGACCGAACAGAACAGAACCAACAAGAGCCACACAGTCGAACCTCGAGAAACAACGACAATCAGTACGTAAACATTCTTTCCGGTTGGGATGGCCGGAAGATGAAACAGGTGCTGCAGATCCGCTGACTTGTAGCCGGCGGACAAATAGATACTGCGAAGCTGATCCAACGCCATCTGTACTGCTCGGGCCGGATGCGCATACTTGGTAGCGAGGGCTGACCGTGATCTAGCCCCGGAGAGAAGGGTAGAAAGACTTCCTGCAGTGTGGGGTCCTCTGATCTGCCAGATTTTTGTTGGGGTTTTGTAGTAAATCGCACGGTCGCCTACGTCGATGACGAAGCCGAGGAACTCAGAGGAACCCACCTGTTCCAACACGATGGGTGCACCATAAAAGTCAGCGTGAAGCAAAGCCTCCAATGGGGCTGCTGGGTGACCGGAAGCCGGAGACGGGAAGATCACAAATCTGTTGTCGACATATCGCTCCAAGAAGATGTTGTGGCTGGCGAACCATTGTCCGTAAATACGCTGCCAAAGAACTTCGTGCCTCGCGACGCAAATGTGACTGAGAACTGGGCTCAGCTGAGAGCCAATCGCTGTTCCGTGGACTTGGCGAAGAATGAGAGTCCCCACCTGGACGTACATGCATTGGAAGCTGGATTTGACTATATCCAGGATGTCCTCCACATAAATGACCCGCGTAGTCGGCGTGCGTCCGTAGGATTGCTTACCCGCAAAAACCCGGTTGTAGTGGACCGCCGCCTGAGTTTCCACCGAATAGATGAGACCAGGATGCTCTCGCCGGTGCTCTGCTAATAGCTGCTCGACTGCTGCGCATACCTGATCCTGAGGGACACTGTTGAAGAAGCCGACCAAATCGTCATTGTGAAATGCGAGAGTGACTGTATCGTCTGTGTTGTCAAAGTATTGTTTGACGTTCTGCCATATCCTCGGCGTGGGGTGTACCCCCCACGAACACTTCCATGTACTCGCGGCGATCTCGCCGAGAAGGATTGCAACCGCTTTAAAGAGCTGCCGATGTACCACCTTATGGTAGGCTATAATAGTTCGCCCCGATTTCCATTGCTTCTTACGTTTGAGAAAGACTTTTCCAACCGGGATCGCGGTGGTCTTCTTCCTGTATGCCCATTTGTACCTCTTCTGCAGGTGTCGGGGGATAGCTTCAACAATAAGAGCCTCGGCTTGGTCGGGCTTCAGCGGAGTGGCGGCAAATGTGCCGGACTGAAGCCAGGTGTTGTGGAGGCCTTTGAAGTAGAGTTGGGGGCAGAAGAACATGAGGTGGTGGTTGTCATGATCCTCGTTATGGCACACAAAGTCCTGGCCGAGGTGTCGATGCAGGATGTTCAGCTGGTGCTTGGTGAGAAGTTGATGGGTGGATGCGTGCTGCCGATGTTTCAGAAATTGACTGCGTAGGTGCTGCATGAGGGGTGCGTGGAACTGGTCCAGGGGCAGACCATGGTGCAGGCACCATTTTCGTAGGCGTTCATGAACCTGCACTTCGTAGACTGAAAGGTCCACATAATATGACGCCAGGGCTGAGGTGTAATGAACGTGCGTGGGGTTCCCGGAAACCGGAACTCATCCTCGCTTCGATCCCTTGCTCACTAAGGAGATGGTGGCCCCCCATTTGACTGCAATGGTTTTCAACTGCTCCACTGTGTCGGACGCCAGCTCCTGCTTGATGAGATCAAGGTAGGTCGCTTGGTTGGACAGCGTGCGTTCGTGTAGCCATGCCTTGAAGACCTTGTCCGTGAGGCTGGTGGGAAGTGGCACTTGTTGACCTTTGGGGTTTCCTTGACGTAGAAGTTCTGAGTCGAGAGTGATATCCGGGGCAGCCGCCGGGGTCTTTCTCTTTGACGGTCGTCGCTTAGGGGCTGGATCAGCCTCTGGAGATGGAACTGGTAGGGGGGGTCCTTGCTGATCTGAGTTGGCCGCGTTGATGTAGAGGGACTGGTCAGAGCGGCCGGGCGTGGGGGTCCAGGACGCGGCATTGGAAGGGGACGAGGATGGCAGCTTCTTATCCGGTGTAAGAGTGATGCCCTTGTTCTTGTAGTGCTCCAGCTGTTGTTCCAATTCGGCAATTTTGTGGCGAGTGAGGTTCTCCTGCTTGGCGGGCTGCAAGGACTCCATGAGATCCACGATTTTGAGTGCAAGTGGCTCCATAAACTGCATGGCCTCATTGCGCTTATCCGGCGCATTGTCCGCATGGAGAGAGCGAGCTGTCCTGTCGATGTCGACCTCCCTGCCTCTCAATGCTTTGAGAATGGATGTCAATAAAACTGCCTCTGCTATCGTCTGAGCCATGACTGGTGTGCTGTATCGGCCGTTTGACAGTGCTCGTAATGCGTGATCTTCTGCTCCTCCTCGAAGAAGTCGTGTCAGTGGAAGATCCAGGATAGCTGTTCCTGCGAGCCCGACTCTTCTGGACCACTGAGTAGGCTGAACGCTGCAGACCACGGACCTCCGTCTTGTCGAGGAAGATGTCGTCAGATTGGAAGGTGCTGGGGAGTAGCTGAGAGTATCGAGGCTGAGTGTACTGCGTTGCATCACCTTGGCCTGGAGGTGCCCGAACTGGAGGTTGAGCTGGCGGTGCTGGTGGTGGAGGACGGGGACCTGTCTGCATGTGGTTTGTTCCACCGTAAAACTGACCGGGAGGTTGAGGAGGGAACTGGTGAGCCATCTGTGGGGGCCGAGGGGGATTGACGCGGGACGTTGCTTCCTCTCGAAGTTGATGTTGCAAGGGTTCCATCCGATTGGAGCTGAGATATACCTCCTGCTGGGACTGCGGAACTGACCATGACGGAAGATACGAGGATCCCGGATGCGAAGAGGAAGAGGGTGCCGATGCCGCCGGCCATGAATAGTTCCACTGAGAAGCCATCACGAGATGGGAGGTTGCCGTCAACACTGCTAATGGGTTAAAAGCTAGGGGTACGCCACACATTGCCAAGACAACATACATTGCCAAAACGACGCCCGAATTTCGACCGGGCCCGGGGCAGTTTGAAACCGGGAAACAGCATTAGTCA